TTTTGTGACACATTTACAGCTAAGGCGCTTGGACAAAGCAATTTGTCCACTGGGTAAATGTGTACAAAGCCTGCTTACAGTGCAAAGAAATACAATACGTCAATGGTGTTGATTTGTGGGGAACCTAATGAGCGCTCGTAGTTTACACGAGGCAGTCAGAGTAGGACCTACTTCACTCACAGCAGCAATAACTCCCTACGAGCCTGTCTCTGCTCAGACTTCAATCTCTGGGCCCTTAGGAGCTGTTGGACGACTTTGATGTTCTGTCTAAATGAATTGACTGTGCTTCTTGATACAGCCCCACAGTCATATGACTCCCCCCACGAATCCTGCCACCTGTGATAAACACCACGAGTGCTCGGCAATACCAAATTTTGGATCACATTCTCAGAAAACCCCCATTTTCTTCATCCCCCACTTTAAGCTTGCAAATAACTGAAATAAATATATATATATATATATATATATATATATATATGTATATATATATATATATATATATATATATATAAAATTGTTGTTTCCGCTCTGCTTTATCCGAGCAAAAGCCCTTTGATGTGTGAGGCTGTGTGTGAGCAGGCTGGTTTTTGTTACCTTACAGCCTTGCAACATCCAGAAAGTAAGCCTTTATGTTGGTGCCCCTTCAGGGCATGGTGTTTGTTAGAGCCAGGGCAAAAGCAGCAACCTCCAACCCACTTCTATCATCGCACTTTTTTTTTAATTTCCAAAAGAATCAGAGCCAGAAAGCTCTGCATAAATGCTTGTGGGTTGACAGACTTGATCTGAACAAGATCTGACGCTTATTCAGGGGCATTTGTGCTCAACGAAGTAATAATACGTCTAAAAGCGTTCAATACAAAAAACAACTGGACTTTATTTGGAACAGAAGACGTTTGTATTGAACGCTTTTTTGAATTCATCATGTCCTGGATGACTGAGAATCTTCACCAGCAATAATACGTCTACTTTAAAGCCCTTACCTTGTCACAATGTGTAACTTGATTAAGGATAAGAATATAAACGATAAAAAAGTAAGGCAAACACTGAGCGTAACCCACAGAACAACATAAAATATTGCTTCAATCAAAGAGTAGGGCTGAGGCAGGACGTAATTACCGTATTTTCCGCCATACACGTCACTCCGCCCTATAAGTCGCATCAGTCCAAATATTTCTAATAAAGTGGAAAAATCCATAAATAAGTCGCTTCGCCATAAACGTCGCATCTATTATGTGCCACTGCTGATGCGTAGCGTTTATTACGTGTCACCACTGACAACTCGGAAATGTGGGCCGGTGTTGTGCCAAAAATTGATTGGCTACCTAATGGCGGCCCCGGGAGCGTGCACGGGAGGACTTTAACAAGAATTTAACAAGATTAACACTTAAAAACAATTATTTGTTTGCTCGAAATTATAGTAAAAGGTGAGTCTCAGTCTAACCTTTGCTTAATAAATGCACTTTGACGGTCAAATTAGTTGTATTTCAAAAGGTATTTGCTGCCTCGGTGCTCCCGGGAGTGTGCAGACAGGGAGGAAAAAAAGGTGGAGGAACGCTGCGCGTTTCTTCGAAATTTAACAAGATAACCACTTAAAAACAATTATTTGTTTGCTCACAATTATAGCAAAGGTGTGTCTCAGTTGAATCTTTACTTAATAAATGCACTTTAATAGTCAAATTAGCTGCATTTTGTGCGAGCAGTGCAGCGAAATGAAGCTGATTTGACAGTTGTTCCAAGCAGCGAGCAGAACAAAGGTGGTTAGTATGGCAAGCTGATTGTGTCATTAATAGATTAATAAATTTTCAGGTCTCTCTTGTAAATGAGTCCACGAGGCTCAATGGGATTAACCTGTATAAATAAAGATTGAATGAATGAATAGATGGTGAAGGTTCTCAGTCATCCAGGACATGGTAAATTAAAAAAAAAAAAAAGACAAATACAATAAAGTACTTTGTATAAATTAAAGTATGATAAATAAAGTCCAGTTATTCTGTCTTGAATTTTTTTGAATTACTCATTAATAGTCACTTTTCCTTATTACAGGATACAACATTACTACTCAACTGCCATCTAGTGGCTGAAAATGGTAGTGTTCAATTATTTCAGTCAGAATGAATGAAAACGGTCATATCTCAGCCAAAAATTGGATTATAAATATGGGAAAAAATCCATAAATACGTCGCTTCGGCCTATAAGTTGCAGGGCACGCAAATTATGCAAAAAAAAGTGACTTATATGGCAAAAAATACGGTAATCAATAGTTAGCCATCCAAGCTCTTTTTGTCTACTTCTCATTTGACTAAATCTATTTATCATTCTGCTTACACTTAACGTTGAGTTTTCGATTTCACAGGAACCTTGCATGAAACCTCAGTGTTTAACCTGTTATATCTTTCAGATGAAGTAGGAAGTAGGAGTTCTACTTGGCGAAGCCACAGATCCACCCACACCTTGGGTTTTTCCCTGCATGTGCAGTGATTCCTGTGCAAAGCCTCTGAACACCACTCTCTCGCTCTCTCCCTCCTCCAGCGGCGATGGCGAGCAAACCGGCCCTGGATCGAGCACCTCATTTAGTCGCCGGTGCACCTTTGATGTGGATTCAGAGCTGCAGTGCATAGTATGTGTTTGAAGGTTCGGCTTCCACAATACAGCCAGGTTTGAAGTTTCCCATATTGCAGGTGCTACAATGTGATAATCCAGGAGCCAGTTATGCATTATACATTTTTGCCATAAAAGAACGTAAACTTAAAGTGGAATGTGGAAAAAGTCATCGCTTTAAGGTACATATTGACACAAACAGTGTGCGAGACTCCAGGGTGTGGGACGAAAACGCTCTTGTTATCTCGAGCATTTCAGAATCAGAAAGACATCTTTACTCAGAAGGGGGTAAATATCCAAATAAACAGAGTAGAATAACATTTGACTATGCTGCTATGAGACAAATTTAGTTGGCTGATCGCTCCTCTCAGGGCACAGAGAGAAGAAGGGGGCCATGACGGCTCCCGTCTTTAGTGAAGAGGCCAGCAATGAAAATCTCTTTAGCCATTTAATTTCACGAGGGACTTGATTCACAGCTCGGGGGCAAGTCTAACAGTGTCCTCTTAAAAAAACATTTGAAAAAGCATGCGTGACTTAAGTGAAAAGGATTAAACTGAATACAGTAGTCCCTCGTTTATCGCGGGGGATCCGTACCCTGAAGCCCCGCGATAAGTGAAAAACCACAAAGTAGGAATAGTAGTACAAGTAGTAGTAGTATACATACATATATACATATATAAATACATATATACATATATAAATACATATATATATATATATATATATATATATATATATATATACACATATACATACGTGTGTGTGTATATATAAATTGTCCCTAGGTATGAGTGAGAGAGTGAATGGTTGTTTGTCTCGTTTGTCTCTATGTGGCCCTGTGATGGAATGGAGACCTGTCCAGGGTGTCCCCCGCCCCTCGCACAGTGATTGCCGGACATGGGCACCGGCGACCCCCGTGACCCAAAATGGAAGAAGCGGGTAAAAGATAATGGATGGATGGATGTTTCTAAACGCTCTAAAAGAGCACAGGATGTCATGACTTCAGCTCCCTGCCCCCTCTGCTCTTTGACACCTGCAAGTGCTCTTGGCCACGCCCACTTCTTTGCTCTGCACGGAGAACAGCTGATCCCAAGTAAGTATGTCTGCAGCAAGAAACTTATCCTGCAGTGTGGGCTGCACAAATGTGCAGCAGGTGCTAAATAATTTAAAATAAATTATTTTAAATAAAAATTCCATGCCGATCGTGCGGCTCAACGATCAATCAGTCAACTGTGTGTCATGTCCAATCTTATTTTGAAAAACCGCGACAGAGCGAGCCCGCGATAAACGAACCGCGAAGTAGCGAGGGACTACTGTACACGCCTTTGTTTTGTAGCCACACTTACAACAAGAGATGACGAAATAGCCTGTTGAGAAATTTGCAATTATATTCCTAAACCCTGAAAAATAAGAAAAGAAGACGCTAAATAACTGCATCGAGCATGCAGGATTCTCTCTTTTTGTTTTTGTTTTTTTTAAAGGAGGAGCTGTTGCCCAGAGAAGAAAACCTAGCTGACAGTTAATGTCTGTAAGAGATGGAGTTTTATGCAAACGCTTGTGATCTTGATAATTAAAGAGTGTTTGTATGGAGGTGCACAGCTCCGCATTTCTCTTTAAAGGATGTTTACTGTCTCTTAAGCACAGAGATGGTGACTGCCTAAGGGCCTGCCTACTTCTTTTTTTTTTCCCGAGCTCTGTATCCGCCTTTTGATAAATACACACAAACACACTCACGAGTATAAATACAAACCCTGCACGCTGAGCTAACATGTTAAAACGCACACACACAACAACAAAGCCTTGCTGCTTTCAGAGACATCAGCCTCTCAATTAGCTTCTATCCCTCTTCCTTGGAAGAGAATTATTTTTCAGCTGGATGCCTTTTCTTTGTTTATTGTGAGCAGACCGAAGCCTTATCAGCAGCTAATCACCGCAAGTCAAATTCAAAACCTCACTGCAGTCACTTAAAAAAAAGGAAGGAGGAATTAGTGAATAATCTTCTAAAGTTCAGATTGTCATTTTAGATTTGAACAATCAACAATTTCTTTTAGATGCTCAAATCCGTCTAACAGCCAGAGAGAAGATCAGCATTTGTTGGATGTAATTTGATGTGACATGTTAATTGCATCTACTTGTAATTCTTTCTAATTGATGCTTGATATGTCTCAGGAAATTAGGCCAACTAGATAACACTGTAAATATTATTAATCCTCCCCGCTTTTCTCTTTTTTCGTGGCAGGTCTGATGAATTCACAACAGCCAGAGCTGTAATGTGTCAATGTGCTGTGCAGCTATTGCTCCGTATTCCCAGAGCTGCCAGGCAGACAAATCTAAGGTTACAAGCATACCACTGTATATTCAAAACACATTCAGGAACACTGCAGAGAGCCAAGAAGACTCACCTGAGCAATTTTCACAGAGTTCTGGGTAGAACCACCGGCGTGGTATTCCACTTTCTTTCTCTTGACAATTTCGGAAAACCTGAAATAAAAACAAAAATGGACGGTCAAGATGCAGTTTACATCAATGCATGTACACGCACATTAATAACTTGAGAAAAGAAATGGTACAAAAGATGTATTTATTGTTTTTTTTGTTTTTTTTTATTATTATTACTTCCGCTCTTTTGAAGTGGGGTTCTGAGGAAAGGTGTATGGATGGCTCTTTGAACCACCTCAGTTTGGATAAAAAATGGATTCTTGAGCTGACGGCTAGTCCAGGCGAGGCCAAGAACAAAGTGGATTGCTGGGACTTTAAAACAGTTTGCAATTTTATAGTCATTTATTCAAACACTGTTTTATAACCCCTTTACACATTTGTTAATTTGGCCTTACTTGGCTCCAGCAGATATAATATATTGTTGCTGCTGTGAATTTCACTTGTATATAAAATCAGAATAAGCTTTATTATCATTGTACTGAAATACAATGAGATTATGTTCGTACAGCTGGCGGAGTGCACGTTTCTGCTGCTACTGGAGCACAGGGGGAAAATCCATGAGGATAGGATAGTGGCATTACCAAAAAAGATCTCTTCATATCTTGTCCTATCAGGACACAATTTAAGACATCAAAAAACTCTATGAGCAAGCATATTAAGAAACACATTACATATACGTTTGATGGCAAGACGGTGAGATTTGTCCACGAAGCACTTCCAGATGGACCATAGTCCTGATAAGATGTTGGTGTCAGCCGATACAGCTCTGATAAGCCTTCACGGAAGTTCTCGGGGCGGGGTGGTGTTGCGATAGACCAAGCTTTTCCTTAGTTTACACATATCCCAGGAGAAAGTTGATAAGTCGGCCTGCTTCGAGGCCAACTGGGGGAGTCAAATTCAGATAAGCCACAATTTAGTTTATAATTTGTAGTTTTTTAATCTTATGTAAATAATCACGTAATGGGAAATTACTATGTAAAGTTTTTTTTTTTTTTTAATGAATCGTAGCTAAACTTTTTGAGATTGCAATTGCTTTAAAAGGGCAACAATCCACTTTGGGCATTGTCTACACAGACAGTTTTTCCAAAACTCTGTTCCTATTTGTTATTTTGAAAAATAGCCTTGTAAATCCGATGTAACAGGCCAGATTAACACCTGCCCATATTAAACCCCCAAAAATAGGCTCATAATTTGGCCTACTAAATGGTTAGCATTTCAAGATTTAAGTCTGTTAGCTTTCTCACTTAACTTACCCGTAAAAGCTGAACCCCCAATAAACTGTTGAATAATTAAGTAATTATTGTGTATATGACTCAATACTTCTGATATCATGGGAGTATAATCTGGCCTGAAGGGTACAAATAGACCTAGGACAATTTTTTTTTACACTGGAGGATAAATTGGCCTAGGCCCCTTTAACCGCAGTACGGGTATGACCGTGACACACTTGGAGTTTTCTGTGTCGTTGCCTTGCCATCATGCCAACGTGCCATCATGGTTCAGTCCTTCTAACCTCAGGCTCAGGCCTGTCATGGCGGCTGTCTCCATGATCCTCCATCTGTCTGCATGGACCAAACTCTACGGACCCACTTGGTTCCGCGGGGAAACCTTGGATGCTCTCTATGCCGGACCCAGTTCAGGAGGGCAGTCTGGAAGGGCAGCTGCTGCAGTCCTTGTTAACATCATGCTGCTGACGGGACCTGCTAACTAGACATGCTAACGCTGCTAATAACACCAAGCCGCTAATAGAACCACACTGCTAAAAGTACCATGGTGCCAATGGGACTATGTTGCTAAGAGAAACCTCACTACTAACAGTATCATGCTGCTAACTGGACCATGTTGCTAAGATAACCTCACTGCCATTAGAACCACTCTGCCAATAGGACCAAGCTGCTGTGGATTTATTTCTTTTTACTTTTGTCGCCTTGTTTTTGTATTTTTGTTGCATGCTTTGGTATAACCAAACCGAACATAAGAGAATCGTGCTGCTATTGTTCAGTGTATTGTTTGGCACTATTGGTGACTAGTGTATATTTTAGATCTTTTAGTGTACCGTTGGGCTTTGGTTTAGCATATATCTTAGTTTATATCTTAGATCCTTATTTACTGTTTCTTTTTACACTTCAGATTTTTGATAATGTTTGATGTAACTGGGACCCTGTGTACACAATTCCATTCCATCTCATGTACCACATGTGATGTGAATGACAATAAAGAACCTTGACTTGACTTAACCCCAGGTATAGTACAGACTGGGGTACAGTATGGCCTGTTACACCGGCATCGGTCTTCATCCATTGCTCTTCATCCATACACAAAAATATTTGTATAAATGTGCCCACCATGGTAAGTTAATTGACCCAACAAAGGAAGTTGTCAATCAAAGACTGTCCATTTGCATTTTTATTTATATCCATGTTAAATAACTTAAAGTAGACTATACTATTCCCATTGGTGCTGTATGTAATTTTACCTTTATCATTCCTTGAAGGATGGCATTTAGCTCGCCATCTTTCGTGCCACATTTTTAAACTTTAAATGTTGAAAGATGAGAAATGTATGCATCCTTTATGATTGTCTATTGTTGTCTTTGTGCCCACTGTTGTCATCACTCTTTGTTAAAATTAGGTCTCTCTTGTAAGTGAGTCCCCGAGGCTCAATGGGATTAACCTGTATAAATAAAGGTTGAATGTAAAATGGGGCAGCTGTTTTGGTCAAACCTTGAAAATAATGTTAAGTGTAACCTCGTGATTTTGCAAGAGGTCACGCTCAGAGTATGTGCTGTAAATTACTCTCAGCTACTAATATATCAAATTTTAGCTTAATATAAGTAAAAATGGCTGAATCACAGGCGGGTTTTTTTTTTGCATTTTCTAAGGTCAGTCGGCAGCCATCTTGAATTGTGCTGACTCGAAATGTTAATCAGTTGTAGAAGTATATCTAACTGCAAGTTTCACAAAAAACTGATGCATGGTTCATAAGTTACTTTGGTAAAAGACAGACGCACAAACAGGCAAAAAACAAAAAATGGTACACCTTTGCCTTTCAGCAGCAGGTGATCACATTAAAAAGAGCTGAAAATGCTTGAGTGTAATCCTAAAGTTTGTCAGGTTTGGTTTAAAAGCAGGGCAGCACGGTGGCACAGTTGGAAGAGCTGCTGTCTCTCAGCAAGCAGGTTGCCTTGTTTCAAATCCAGGTCCGGGGGCCTTTCTGGGTGGAGTTTGCATGTTCTCTCTGTGCATGCGTGAGTTCTCTCCGGATACTCCGGTTTCCTCCCATAACCAAAAACATGCATGTTAGACTGACTGGTAACTAAATTGTCTCTAGGTGTAAGTGAGAGAGTGAATGGTTGTTTGTCTCTATGTGTCCCTGTGATGGACTGGAGACCTGTCCAGTGTGTACCCCGCCTCTCGCACAGTGATGGCTGGACATGAGCACCAGTGACCCCCTCTACCTGAAAAAGGAAGAAGTGGGTAAAAATAATGGATGGATGGCATTTCAGGATTTAAAGACATTTTGGGGGTTGCGTGAAAAAAGCAAGATCAAATTTGACTTGAAGAGAACTATGTCATATCTATAGTGAAGACTGCCAGAAAAACAGGAGTAATCTGTATGTAAAGTGTATCATGACTGAACAACATGTGTGTCAAAGAAGTTCAATACTTAAGCACAACCTGGTTTAACTTGGCATGGCTGAATTTTGAGCTGGTGTGAAAGTAACCTTTACTGGTTCAAAGAAAGTCTACATATCATGTCTCAAGGCAAGAAGTCTACCAGGGCAGAGTGTTCCTAATAAAAAACTTCTCATGCAAGTGGAAAATATGTTAAGCGAGGGGGGATGGGGGGGGGAGAGAAATTGTTCCTGAGACACCTGTTTTGACTCCTTGACAAAAGAGGAATTTGAGCACTGTGGGTGTTTATAACATGAAGGCAAGCGAGGGACTCCAGACCCATTTCAAATAGATACACAGCTTCAGAGGATTTGAGCACTTTTTTCACTAGACGTATTTGCTCCACCTTTCAGTGCAGACAGCATGAGGCCCTGGTCTCGGAAGCCTGGAAAAATCCCATCCGAAAAGGAGCAGCTGCCTCGAGACCTTTACACCCTCAAACATCATGTGATCCCACAGTAGTGACACCGTAAACGGCCCCCGTGGCCATTTAGGGATAGAAAATCCCTTTCTATCTACTGCAGACCTGAGCTCACTCAGTGATAGGAGGGAGCGGAAGAAAAGAAATTGTTTTGAACAAAATGTCCTCGGCTAGTAACCTCCGCTTTTTAAAACCTGTTGGTGTTGTTCAATGGAAGAGCAATTTCAGCTATGCCATGAATTCCACTACAGTGCGGTCAGTCTGTTACACAACAAGAGCCATACAAGAGGCTGACTGTGACATGCTGGTTAAATGCCACTTTCAACTACAGGTACTGTGCAATTTTTCCATTTCATACTTCCCAATCTGAGACTAATTGTGGCACTCATTTATTTAGCTTTAATAAATTCCAATTAGACAAATCAGGCCACTGAATATAATATTTGTATTCAAAGGATACAAGCATTTTCCTTCAAAGTTATCACATCTCCTCAGATTAACACATTCAAGAAGTACAGATCGTACAAGTCTGGAGCGTTGCGTTGTTTACATTCCTGGGGATGGAGCCCCCACCGTTGTTTCCCATCAAGGGAAATATGAGAGCCTCCAAAGTACTTTGAGTGTTCTTTGCTCCGAATTACTCATGAGTTCCTCTTTAACCCCCTCCTCCAAAAAAGAAACAAGCCAAGTAGATTATTTACATGAGGCAATAATTCAAGATTTGCTTCTCTAAGTCTCTTACACAGAGGGCAAGGCGAGCCCATTTACCGAATCCCACTTCATTCGCCTTTGATGTTAGCCTATCTCGATAAGACCGGATGAGTGCCCTGAAATCCCCATCGAGTGATTTCACAGGAAGAACAAGTCTCTGTTAATCAATGGGAAGATTGGATCTGGATCCTCCGGAGTGGTCCGCCTGAACGTCCTCCCGAGTGTTTGAGTGCATA